AGCCTACTCCTTGTCCCGTTTACCTCCACACACTTAGGACTTTATTATTCTTAGTTCCCCAAGAAGCATTCACCTTAAAGACCACTTGAAAAAAAGAATTCCTAGAGAAGGAGGCTATTTTTTAATCAACAGGAATTAATAAATAATTGTAATTTCAGGCATTAAAAGGGAGTACAAAGGCTTATCAGCCCCATTCAAATCACAATGGTACTTAACTTCACCTTCAGTTGTGGTCTCAACCCTGGAGGTATGTAGAAACATCCAGAGAGCTTCTTAAGAATACTGAAAGCTGAGACCCTACTCACAGGGATTCTGATTTAGTTGGACTAGGTTCAACCCTGCGCAAAGGTGTTTTTGTAAAAGCTCCCCAGGCAATTCTCTTGTGCAGTCAGAGCGAGGAACCACTGATTTAACCCTACATTGGCCCTGCCCTGACTGGTGTGGCTCAATTGGTTGGGCTTCCTCCCACAAAGCAAAAGGTTGCCAGTGGGGACAGTTGCTTGGGTTGTGGGTTCAGTCCCAGGTTGGGGTGCTTACGAGAGACCACAAATCAATGTTTCTCTCTCACATTGATGTTTCTCTCCCTTTCTTTCTCCCTCCCTTTCTCTCTCTCTCTAAAAATGAATAAATAAAAATTAAAAAAATAAACCTACATTGGCTCTGCTCTTGAGAAGAAGAAAAGCTGAATGCCATTTGAAGAATAAACCTAAAGCAGGGTGAGGGTGGAAGGACTGTGAGAGTCATTGATAAAGTGAACAGAAGGATAAAAATAGACCCAGCGACTCGGTAATAAGCAAGTGCTCAGCAGCACCAAAAGAAGAAGTAATATGTGGCTGATTCAGTCCCCCACTCCCAAACCCCCAGGGCAAACGGCCTGGCCCTGTTAGTCTTTAAATCTGCTTTCCAGATGGTTCATGGGTATGACAGTAGATAAAATCTCTGAGCTACAGAGCTATGTTCAAATGGTTGTTGATGTACCTGAGTCAGGAATTCTTCAGTAGATGAGATAATTTTATGTAGAGGATAAATGATTTTGTTACAAAGGAGATCTGTTATTTATTTGCATTTTACTGAGCACTGTGGGTTCAGCATTTGTTACTAAGTTGCTTGTTTGATCCAGCAACTCCAGGATGGATAAAGTGTGAGTTCACATTGTAGAGCTGGATAATCTTTGCTTACGCTTTGGCCCCCTCTGTCATCCTGTAGCAGTGCATTGCTGTTGATATCATAACAAAGCCCTTATTATAATATAACATTTCTCATCACTGCTTGGTTTGCCTTTGCGGTATTTCCCTGCTTCAAAGGTGGCCCTTCAGAAAAGTGGATGGAGAACATGGGCAACATTTTATCCAGCAGTTGTTTTTTTGTGGATACATTCTTAAAACAAAGCACTGCAGAAACAGCTTTGGTATTCTGAGCAAGCAGTGTCTCCTATTTTTAGGGAAAATTGCACCCATGGATAACAAGGCTTCTGGGGGGTGTTTATTGACAAGCCCCTGCTCTGAGATGTCTGGAGAAAAGTCAAGCATCAGGGGGATCCCCTTGATTAAAAAAAGGAAACAGGTTACACTGTGCCCTTTTAGAGAAATGTCTACAGAAGTAAGGGAATGGAATTTAGAAAAACTGGTCCTCATTGTTTGTATTTCTTCCTTTATGTATATATTTACCTTTATGAATACTTAAGCATTCATTTATTTACTTGATTAAGAGGCCAATCATAACTGTACCTTGCTTGGAAGCATTGTAAAGTTTAATTAATGTTTCTAATGCATGAGTTGAACTCACAAGATGAAAGATTCTAATACAGTATATGGAATATGTGTTAAGTGCCCAATCTGGTTTAGTCTGACAACGGCCATAATTCTATAGTGTCCTACACTGCATGTCTTGATTATTGTGGTTTCAGTGACTTCAACCTTGAAAAACGTATTTTCATGTTGAGAATGTGTTTAATATTTGGGTATATAGAATATATGTTTATATTCTAGCTAGCCCCAATTCGTTGATTCTTGACATAAATGATGTTTTACAAAGCAATATGGGAGGTTTTTCTTCTTTGAAATTGGCCAGAGAGGTCAAAAGGACACAAAGTTATGGTCCTCACGCATTATATAATAATATTTAAGTTGGTTTGTGCCACAAAATGTAAATGTTAAATTAAAAAATAACTATTGAAATCACATATCCACATTAAAAGGTGCTATTTAGCAAGGATTGACCTGGCTCAAAGTAAAATGAGGTTGTAAAATGTCAAAAGGAACATTATTATTAATCCTATTTTATATATATTTCCACAAAACTCACTTGCGGATATTTCATAGAAAACTTAAATAGTAGATGAACCACTGGGCCATTAAAAGTGAGCTAGAGCTCAAGAGCCAAGGGTCTGTGCTTTTAGAATTAACAAGTCTCAGTAGAGTGAAGGATTTAGATAACTATGTCAGATTAGGGGCTATTATTACTAGAATGTAGTTGAATATTAACAGGACTTGGCTATCCTTTATGTTACTTAAAAAAAGCTTATCTTTGTATGGCAAAGCATTGCCTTCCAGTTGCACTATTTGTAATTTTAAAAAAGAGCTAACTCTTCCATACATTATTCTAAGGAATATAATTCATGAATTAGAACACGGCCCACTTTTTTCTGTTTTGAAAAGTCCTTGGTTAAAATGCAAATCCTCCTAGAAAAGGTACTTTTGGGCCATTATCAGCTCTCCCATCCATACACCCTTCTTAGGAATATAACTGCATGCATTAGAACAGCCTTGTTCACAACCCTGAAAGTTAGCCAGTTAATCCTCCCTTATAAAGATATGGCGTTATTTTATTCTTATTCAATGAAATATTCAATTCAATAAGAATTTACTCTGCATTTACACAGTTATTCGGCATCTTGTGAAAATGTGAGGCACAATAAAGGAGGGTTTAATGTTTTAGGATACCTTCCCTGGTCTTAAGTGTTTACAGTCTCACATTAGGCAGCAAGGACAACGTGGTACATTCAAAGAGACAGGAGTCCATCTTCCCCCCCTTTCAGGTCTCTATCTCCCTTTTTGGTGGCCCTGGAGCCTAAGTTCCACTAGAGCATTGCTCTCAGCTGGCTCATCAAACAGCACAAAACTGATAGAGTCCCCAAGATGGTACCTTTTCTAGGAGGATTTGCATTTTAACCAAGGACTTTTCAAGACAAAAACAAAGTGAGCCTGTGTAAACAAATTGACTTATTCTTAGGGTTCTGACCGGTCTATCTCAAATTATAGGATACAAACTGCTTTTACTTCACCCACAATCCTGTCACTCCCTTGCTTGTATTTTCTTTGCTTTTTATTGAACTTATTGGGGTGGCAGTGGTTAACAAAATTATACAGGTTTCAGGTGCACAATTCCAGAACACAGTATCTGTACACTGTACTGTGTATTCACCACCCGACGTCAAGTTTCTTTCCATCGCCATTTATACTCTGGTTTCTCTTAAGAGCGCATACATCTTCTGCCTTTCACTCCCCTGCTTTGAAAAGCCCAGCTTAACTTGCTGGTTTCCATGCTATCCCAGTCCACAGGACAGACTCCAGAATTTTTGGTTTTCTGTGCTAGGTACTCTTGAGGTTCATCTTCCTTACTTCAGACCAGACATCCTACTTTCCATATTTCTATAAACAGGCCAGGCCCTTTCACAACTTCCTCCTTTCTCTGTTTCCACTACTCAGGATGCCTTTTATCCCCTCTCCTCTTGTCTTTTTTGGCCACTCTCACTTAGAGACCCAGAATAAACTTCAATTCTTCTGTGAAACTCTATTACAAAGTTCCCCTAAATATCTTGTTTCACCTGTTTCCACAGCACTTTGTACATCTGTTAATAGTACTGTTATGGAAATTAGTTTTGAAAGTATCTCTCCCCACTGGCTTCTCAATGGCAGGGATCTGGTATGGTTTGTGGCATATAAAGTCTTTCAATACATACTCGTTCAGTGTTTCTGCGGATAGAATGATCAACAGGTTGAAAACACAGTTTTATTTTTTTTATTGTTGTTCAATTACAGTTGTCCCCATTCCCCGGCCATTGCTCTCCCCTGGCGGTGTTCTCTGCACCCCCTCCCAATGCCCTCGAATTAACACAAACTCCCAACAGAACATTTACATGGTTTATTGTTGCTAATTTAACCAGATTGACGTTTGTTCTCATGAGTGATCCATTTAAAAATTTTGGCTCGTGGAATACATTGGTAGAAAACACTGACTTTTGCCAATATTCTCCTAACATTTATTCTTAGAGACAAATTGTATGAGCGGAGATTTGGTAACATAAGTGGCTTTTAGTATGTAAACTACCAGGTTAATGACTGATGGGGTCAGGGTTGGACCTGGGTTGTAGGTGTGTTGTAGGTGTGTGTGCGGGGGGGCGGGGGGTGTTACCTTCCTGTTTCCTGGCCTTAGAATGCACCCTTAACTCTGGCCAGCCATCTTGGAAAATGCTCCTGGTAGGAAGTGAAAAGGGTTTGAAGCTACATTACTGAAAAAGGGACAAAAACTCAGCCATATTCAGTACCGGGTCATTGGTGTCCTTGACATAAAAGAGAAGCAATTTATAACTCAACCGAATAGGAAACTCCTTTCCTTGCTATCTAAACTGTTTCTTTTCCTTTCCTAGCTTAACCTCCTGACATTCCTCCCTAGCAGTCCACATAACGGCCTGATTATGTTTTTCTCCATTTGGGATTACTCCCTCCCTGGCCTTGCAAGCCCTCCTTATTCCTTTATCTCTTTCAAAGTTTCCATTCTCTCTTTCCCTTACTTTTTACTTCCTCCCTTCCTCCATCCCTCTCTCCCTCCTCCCCTATTTTCCCAGCTAGCTCACCCCGCCCCTCACCGTCACCACCTTCCCTCCCCTTCAGGCTCCTTCCCGCTCCCTCTCTCACCACCTTTCTCCCCCCCCACCTCTACCCCCGCCGGCCTCGCGTTCAGAAAGCTCCAATCAGGAGCTCCGAAGGTGTCTCGAAGGCCCGCCCCTCCTCCCGGTCCACTTCTCTTACCCCCCTTTTCCCCCTCCCCCCCAGTCCTGCGGACCTGGGGGCTTCAGGATCTGGGCGCTATGAAAAGTGTCTCCTCAGTCACTTCCGGTAAGGGCGCTGCGGCGCGAAGCTTCCCGCGGGACCGTAAAGGAGGGGGTGGGAGTTATCCGTGGAACGGGGGAGGACAGCGCTGCCTGGGAAGGGGGGCGGCAGACCGAGAGAAGAGAGCGAGCGGGAGCCCAAGAGCCGGAGCATCTCGGGCGCCTCTGCCGCTGCTTTCCCGCCGCCTCGCCGCCAGCCAGCGCCCCCGCCCCCCTGGAGCCCGCAGTGCTTCACTCCACCCCCCTCCTACCCTCCGGACAGACACCGCCCCGCCCTCGCTGCCGCGTGACCGGAAGTGGCGCCATCTTTAGCCTCTTGTGCTATTGACAATAACAAGCCTTGCCTCTCTTCCCCCCTCCCCCCAACCACGGCATCTCCCCTCCCAAAGAGAGGGAGAAAAGGAGGAGGAGCTGCAGCCTCACAGACTCACTGAGTCGCTCCAGCAGAAAGGGGGGAGAGAGACCAAAAAGCAGGAAAGGGGGACGGCACGGCCGTTTACCTGTCTGCCTTCTCATTCGCTCTCCCCCCTTGTTCTGCTCACTCCTGGTGTCAGCCTATCCGCCTTCCCAAACCCTCCCATTCCCCCGGTGTAGCCCCCCCTTCACTTTCCTTCTCGTCCTCTGTGTTTCTCCTCTCTTCTTTCTTCCCTTCCCCCTCGAGCATTGCCACCTTCTCTCCTACACGCACGCAGGCATATAAACGTAGGTTTTTGATGCTCCTCTGCCTGTTGACCCCGCTATTTTCATGTTTCCAACAGGTTTTTCTTCCCCCAATCCCTCAGCTGCTGCTGCTGCTCAGGAGGTCAGATCTGCCACTGATGGTAATACCAGCACCACTCCGCCCACCTCTGCCAAGAAGAGAAAGTTAAACAGCAGCAGCAGCAGTAGCAGCAGTAACAGTAGTAACGAGAGAGAAGACTTTGATTCCACCTCTCCCTCCTCTTCCACTCCTCCTTTACAACCTAGGGATTCGGCATCCCCTTCAACCTCGTCTTTCTGCGTGGGGGTTTCGTTGGCTGCTTCCAGCCACGTACCGATACAGAAGAAGCTGCGTTTTGAAGACACCCTGGAGTTTGTAGGGTTTGATGCGAAGATGGCTGAGGAATCCTCCTCTTCCTCCTCCTCATCTTCACCAACTGCTGCAACATCTCAGCAGCAGCAACTTAAAAATAAGAGTATATTAATCTCCTCTGTGGCTTCGGTGCATCACGCAAACGGCCTGGCTAAATCTTCTACCACCGTCTCTAGCTTTGCTAACAGCAAGCCTGGCTCTGCTAAGAAGTTAGTGATCAAGAACTTTAAAGGTAACCAAAGCCAAAATCCATAATCACCTACTAAGGATTTGACACTTGAGCGGTCACGTGTTCTGTTTATGTTAATATATTAAACAGTATAGAGGTGGACTAATGTGTTATGCATAATCAATGAGGTGGAGGGAGGTCCTTTTTTGGGTGGAGGGTTCGTTTTCCGGGGGTGGTTGGTATCCTTGTGCTGAAGCGTACAGCGAGTGTTTCTGTGCAGGATTCTGAGGTCTGTCTCAGTCTATTGTATCTAATCTGTTATTTCTTACAACACTGACAATCGGTATGAGTGATCGGGATTTTACAGGTGAGAAATTTGTATTCTAAAGACCTTTATTTCAGGTGCATAGTTAGTTTTGGCACTGATGGGATTTTTATTTTTGTGTTCCAGTAGGCCACATTCTCCAGTCCCTAGAAATGCAGGTAGCAATGATGATCTTTCCATGCTCAAAGAAGATTTATAGTTAGACTTATAGTGTTGAATACTATATTCTTGAAACTCATTTGTGGAAACAATATTTGGAGAAAAATATTTATGATCTCTGCATTTGTTTCCAAAGGTAGGGTTTGTATACACAGAAGTAGTAACTGTGTACCACTGGTGAAAAGATAGGAACAATTAGTACATCTATATTTTACCATTAAAATGGGTTTTAAAGTACTGACTGCAGCTTTTCGGAAAATTTGTTCATTTTTGTATTTGAGATATGTGATTGAGAGTATTTTGGATTCAAAATTTTATATTGATACAAATATAAAATTAGCAATTAAAAAATGTCAACTTGAGCTGAACTACTTTGTATCTGTTGACTGTTTCTATTTTTCTGACTTACTTTTTCAACACTTAACTGGCAGGTAATAGATGCTAAAGTGTTTATTAAATACAGAAGTAAATGAATGAACTAAAGTAACGTTTACCAGATAAGTGCCTTGTGACTAAATATCAGTATTGAGAAAATTAGATTTTCCATGCTTGTGTTTTCAACATAAGTGTGGAAATAAGGAATATGCTCTATTTTGTCTTAAGCAGAGCGTTATAGTTTTGTTTATTTTTAACCTTTTCTTTTCTCTTATTACTCCTGTCCCATTCCCAGGCTCTCAGGAGTGTTGTAATCTTCCTGATTTAATAGTAGACCTTTCTAAAGTAAATATAAGATGTAACTTACTAATGTGTTCATTGTTTCACTTAAAATATATCGATTTAATAGCTGAGAATTTTTAAAGAGATGAGCTATGATCCTAAATGCATTTGCATACTGGTTTCAGAGACTTTGTTTTGATTTTTTTTCCTGTCCCTCTTAAACTAAGCACACATTATTAAGGCGTTTGGATTTTTAAAATGATTTTCTTTATTTATTTTTAGAGAGAGGGGAAGGGAGGGAGAGAGGAAGAGAAACATCAATGTGCAGTTGCCTCTCGTGCGCCCCCCAGTGGGGACCTGGCCCACAACCCAGGCATGTGTCCTGACTGGGAATCGAACCGGCGACCCTTTGGTTCACAGGCTGGCATTCAATCCACTGAGCCACACCAGCCAGGGTGGCATTTGGATGTTTTAATTAAAACAATACTTATTGCTGGTAAAGGAGGTTTAAAGCCATTCTGAAAATGCTACCTAGGTTCTGGAGTCATTTCGGTGCTTTAATTTTTTTTTTAATTTCGTTCTGCTCATAAATGTAGTTTAAATTCAAACCCAAATTAAAAATGGTTCTCTCCATTTCTACAGATGCTATGTAAATGGGGGAGTTAAACAGACTGGGATTAGAATCCCAATTTTGCCACTGACCGGCTATGTTGACCTTGGACAAACCTTACTAAATGAAACTTCCAGCCTCAGTTTTCTCAGTTGCAAAATAGGGATAATAATACCTTGCTCAGGGCATTATTAGGGGAATTAAAATGTTTATAAAGTACCTTGTACATAATAGGTACTCAGTATTTTAAATCTCAGGTACAAAATTGGCGTTGACTGGAGTTTTACACATGATGAAATAAGACCAGGCATGCTATTTTTTATCTTCCATTCTTGAATTTTTATTTTTTGAAGCACTACAGTCAATAAGAGGAAAAAAAGTTACCTTCAATTTTAATAGATGAGTCAAAATGACAAATAGTATTCTGGCATTTCAAATTTTATTCTTTATATTGAGCCTAAATACAGTGGTTACTTTAAAATTTGGGAAGAATAATTATAAAGATCACAGTTTACCCTTAAAAGTAGTAATACTGTATTTTATGGATCCTTCTGTTCTGTTCTACATATTATTCTCATATCAACCTTTTACATCCTTTCTAGATAAGCCTAAATTACCAGAAAACTACACAGATGAAACATGGCAGAAACTGAAGGAAGCGGTGGAAGCTATCCAGAATAGCACTTCAATTAAGTACAATTTAGAAGAACTCTATCAGGTATGTATTAATGTGGATAACCAGATTTGGACAGCATAAATGAAGGTGGATATATATGGTTTTTACTTTCTTTTTTAACCTTTTTTTAAATTTTTTACTTTTTTCAATTACAGTTTAATATTATTTTGTATTGGTTTCAGGTATACACATAGTGGTTAGATAGTCATATACTTTACAAAATGTTCCCCCTGATATGGATTCTCATGTCACCTTTTGGCTTTCTAATTACAATTTCTTGATTAAATTATACACACTTTTTAAAAAAGATTTATTTTTAGAGAGGGGAAGAGGGAGAAAGAGAGGAAGAGAAACATCAATGTGTGGTTGCATTTTGCGCACCCCCTGCTGGGGACCTGGCCTGCAACCCAGGCATGGGCCCTACACTGGGAATTGAACAGCGACCCTTAGGTTCGTGGGCCGACGCTCAATCCACTGAGCCACAGCATCTATGGCTATGCACACTTTTAATAAATTATGAGTACAGTCGTATTGATATAAATTGGGCTTATCTTGGACCCTTCTGATTAGGATTTACAATTAGGAGTACTTTGGTGTAATAGAAATTATACCTATGCCTTGAATCCCAAAGATGATTTCAGGTGACATACTCTGTTGTAGTCCTTCTTGCTAAGTTACATATAGGAAAGTGCTCCAAGAAATGCAGATATTCTCCATGTATCTGCCTTTTCTGCCTCCCTCCTATTAGTCTTTTGCTGTTACTTTTTTCTTTTTATGTTTCTCTTACCTCCTGGTCTACAAGACACACCTTAGCCAAAAAATGAGCTGCAGGTTGTAGCTCAGCAACTTGGTTCCGTTGTGTTTCTTTTGCTTAACAAATGAGTCTGTACTTGAAGTGTTTAATTTAAATATACTGTTAAGGGCAATTACTGATTTACACTTCTTGCTACCAAGATATTTTATTCTACTGTATTTTCGACACAACCAATTGAAGAAGTTATTTTCCATTATAGCATCCACAGTTTCGTATAAAAACATATTTCAGAGTCCAGTACCTTTGAGGTTTTTTTTTTTTTTTTTTTTTTTTTACTCCTTACCAAAGCCAAGGATATGTTTATTGATTTTAGAGAGAGAGGAAGGGAAAGACAGTGAGAGAGAAAGGTCAGTCAGTTGCCTCCCATATGCTCCCCAACGGGGGATGGAACCTGCAACCTAGGTATATGCCCTGACCAGGAATCTAACCTCTAACCCTTTGGTACACGGGACGATGCTCCAACCAACTGAGCCACCCAGCCAAGGCAGTAGCGTGACTTTTTGTATTAATGAGTACCTTGTAATAATTTATGTTGTTCAATTTATCAAAATTCATAGTTTTCATCTATTTTAGTTGCGAGGCAGTATGGTGATGGACAAACCTTGGATTAGGAGTAAGAAGACAGAGGTTTGGGATCTAGTTTTGGCTGCTATTACCCTTCGGATCTTGGGCAAGGAACTAAACCTCCCTCAGCTTCAGTTTTATTCTCTATAAAACAGGGGAAAGAATGCCTGTCCTGTTTACCTCATGGGCTTGCTTATAAGAATCAAATAAAATGTGAAAAATACCTTGACGCACTACGATATAGAAATATAAGTCAAACTTTTTCATAAGACACAGTGTGGCTTTTTCATTTGTAATTTGTTAATTGAGATCACCAATTTCTGTTGCTGTAAAAACTAAATGAGTCAATGCATGCAAAACGTTCAGAACAATGCCCAACATGGTAATAATGCTATGTAATATCATAAGCATTACAATGCTGGTAATGTCATAAGTATAATGCAATGTAAGTGTCAGGTGGCAGTAGTACCTAGGCTATTACTTCGGGATAAACACACCTCATTTGGCTATGTTGGTATATTACTTACATGGCTCCCAAGTTGTACAATAATAAAAGTAGAATTACAGAATTAAACTTGGAAAGGCCTTAAGAGATCGTGTGGTCCAATATCTTTGTGTTGTGTGCATGGCAGCCTACAAAGACTCATCTCATATTATCTCATTTAAGCATTATAGAAACTCTTTGTGAAGTAGACAGGGTAGTAATTATTACCCATATTCCACCAAGGATGAAACCGAGTCTCAAGGAAGTTAAATAATGTGCCCAGAGTGATATATTGCCAGAGTAAGGGATTCAAACTAAGATGCCCAAGTTTCTCCTTCAGTGTACTTTCCCTACTGTGCTGCCTCACTAATTTACTACAGCACTTCAAATACCTCTGTAGTGTAGTGTTTAAAGCAAATAAATAGTTTTACTTTAGGGAAAAAAAAACTGTCATCAAAGAAGGTTTTTTTTTTCATTTGGGCATACATAGTGTTTTTATTTTGATACACTGTGTTCAGTATCTTTAGTTTCAGTAATGTGTTACTTTGTATAGTTCATATTTATGATGTATTGATTGTGGTTGTTAATTTACCTTGTTTGCCTTGAGTATTTTTCTAGAGCTTTCAGGATCAAAAGTATTTTTCCTGATAAATTGATTATTAAATCCATTTATGTTTCAAGAGCTCATAACATATTTTTTCTGTTTTTTCTTTCTTGTACTTCACAAATATTACCTGCTGTTGTTCAATTGCATTTCTCTAGCTTAAAATCAGTGTTATAACTTTCCAGTACTTGCATTTTGCATAGTAATTTACTACATCTGCAATAATAAATTCGAAAGCATTTGTGTCTAGCTCTTTTGTTGTTTTTGATCATAACTTATAAATGCTCCTTTGGATTCTCAGAAAGATTATTTTGAGATGTTCAACTTCAAAAACAAGGATAAAAGGATAAAGGGAGTAAAATTACTTCATACCATCTGGATTTCAGGTGTTTGTTTGATTTTTGACTGGTTGAAATGTAATTTAATAGTACTCTCCTAAAATTGAAACACTATACAAGTATGTAGTATACCAAACAAAAGTTCTCCAAACCTCTCATTTTTCCATCTGATCCCCTCTCTGTCCCTGATGTAGCGGCCACTTATTTGGCATATATTTGTGCAGAACTTTTTTCCGTGTATGCAAAACCATTTTGCTTTAAAGCTTAAGTATGGAAGTCTCTAGTGTGGATTGCATGTACTGCCTCCTAAGTTTTTAATTTCTGGAAAAGCACATGCTCCTCTGAGTGCATTTGCAGTAAGCAAAGGTTGTCTTTTAAAAAATTTTTTACAGTTTTAAAAGATTTTATTTATTTATTTTTAGAGAGAGGGGAAGAGAGGAAGAGAGGTAAAGAAACATCGGTGTGTGGTTGCCTCTCATGTGCCCCCTGCTGGGGACCTGGCCTGCAACACAGGCACCTGCCCTGACTGGGAACCGAACTGGTGATCCTTTGATTCTCAGGCAGGCGCTCAGTCCGCTGAGCCACACTAGCCAGGGCTAAAAGTGGTTTTTAAATGAGAATTATACCTGAGTATAAAAATTACCTTTCCTTGACAGTCTTGAACCCTGCAAGAGTGAGGCAGTGGTTAATATTGTTTTGGTTTGGATTTTTTTTTTGTTTGCTTGTTTTTAATCACCTACAAATAGGAGTATGGTTAAATGCACTGCTTTTGAGTTAATAAGCCCACTTTAGATTAGAGATCTGCCACTCATACTTCTCTAAGCCTTGGTTTCCTCATTTGCAAAATGGGGAAAACTAACACAGCCTATATTTTGCAGGTGTGTTTAATAATAAATAAAATACTGAAAAAATTACTACAGTGCCTGCAATATATGCTGGTATCATTGATGATGATGATGATAAATATGTAAGTCTTTAAAAAAAGATATTTTTATCTTAGATTATATTTCATTATACAGCTCTAAAGCCACACATGTTTTCAAATTCTAAATCCACACTTAGCCAGAACAGCTGGCTGCTACATAGTTTACATTCTAAATATGTATCAGTGGACACCATTAGACAAATTGAAAAAAATAATAGAAAAAGAGAGGAGCTCTCTAGGAACAATCTCCCTCTGTACTTTCTCAAGAATGTATCTTGGCCCTGGCCGGGTGGCTCAGTTGGTTAGATCATTGTCTTGTGCACTGATAGGTTGCAGGTTTGATCCCTGGTCAGGGCACATACCCAGGTTGCAGGTTCGATCTCCATCAGAGTGCGTGCAGGAAGCAAATGATCGATGTTTCTCTTGCATTAGTGTTTCTCTCTCTCTCTCTAAAGTCAATGTAAATATCCTTGGGTGAGTATAGAAAATGTATCTTCTTTTTACATGTGGCAGCTTGTGAATAATTGGAATTCTGGCATTGGCATTTGAGTTTTACAAAGTAAATCTTTAATTTTATAATAATTTAAAATTATATTTTATTAATTGTGTGTTACAGTTGTCCCTATTTTTACCCCTTTTGCCCCGCTCCACCCAACACACCCCACTCCCTCAGGCAATTCCCACAGCATTGTTTATGTCCATGGATCGTGTATACGAGACTTTGGCTACTCTATATCCTTTACTGTACTTTACATTCTCATGGCTATTTTGTAACTACCTATTTGTACTTCTTAATTCCTTCATCTCTTCACCTATTCCGTCACACCCCATCTGGCAACCATCAAAATGCTCTTCATATCAGTGATTCTGTCTCTGTTCTTGTTTGCTTAGTTTGTTTTTTACATTCAATCATTTTTAAAGATTTTATTTATTTTTAGAGAGAGGGAAGGGGAAGGAGAAAGAGAGGGAGAGAAACATCAGTGTGTGACAGCCCCTGCTCCCTGCACGCTCCCACTGGGGACCTGGCCCACAACCCAGGCATGTGCCCTGACCAGAAACTGAACCAGTTGGCAGGCCAGCCACACCAGCCAGGGCTCAATTGTTGATAGACATATCTTTATTGCCTTTATCTTTACTGTTCATAGTTTTGATATTCTTTTTCTTAAATATGTCCCTTAAATATATCTTAACATTTCATATAATAATGGCTTGGTGATGATTAACTCCTTTAGTTTTTCCTTGTCTGGGAAGCTCTATCTGCCCTTCAATTCTAAATGACAGCTTTGCTGGGCAGAGCAGTCTTGGCTGTAGTC